TTCTGATTCTGCCCAGCTATGTCACTTCCTGCATGGTAAATCATCCAATCAGTGTTTTATCCATTAACCAATAAGAAAAACATATACACAGAAGAACATTCCTCCTCGTCTCCTCTTTGCTGTCTAAATAAAAAGAAGAGTTTTAACATTAGCATAGTAAAATTTTATATAACAAAACTGTTATCAAGTAAGAACTATAGTTAAAATATTTAGTCCACTAGCATTTGGCAAAATTTATAGAAATATTCTATCATCTGTCCTGTCTTTGTGGGTCTAAAGTTTTTATGTAATTTATCTTTCATTATAGCTATTGAAAATCATAGCCATATCTACCTGTCTTCAACTCCATCAAAGACCACAGAAGTATAATATATAAACTCTAGAATTGACAGTAACATCTCACTGCCTGGTGAGTTACCCAAAGTTCTTCTGTAACGTTGGGGCATCCATCTTGAGCCCATAGGGCACAGTGTGTCTGGAAGACTGCTCAGTGAAGCTGGAAATTTTAAACTGTCCCACCTATACTGGCAGTTTGTCAGTCATCTCTCTCTGTGTCTTGCAGAATGTCTGGCAGACTCTTCCATGAAGTAGGAACCCTTCAGGACTGTTCCATTTCATTTTGCAAGTTCAGCAGTCACTTTCCTGTGGGTCCTGTATGTCCACTTTATATAACAACAGTCAAGTGGTCCTGGCAAGAGAGGTTACTTGCCCAAATGGCTAGTCTCACCATATTGAAAACAAACTCCATAACAAGTTTCTTCAATGCGCATCTTCCCTTCAGACATAATTGATGTTTCCAGGAGCAGTTTTCTCTCACTGTCATGAAAAACCCTAAATCATTTTAAATGCCATATTCTGAAGGTCTTTGAAAGGTTTGAAGAATAGCCAACCATTTCAAATATATCTCTGTATATCTAGAAAATCTAACTAACCTACCTCTAAGTTTTGAATATTACAGGTGACTATATACAACCTGTATTTAATTATGCATTGCATTTTAAAATGAGATATATAAACACAGTACTAGAGAAGAAATATACATACACGTCACAAAAATGACCTTAAATTTGTATCAATAAAGGAAAATCCATACCAATGCAAAATATTCATTTCTATATCATGTTCCCTTTTTCCTTTAAAAAGAAATTATCTGTGATCATTAACCATTTATAAACAACTCCATTTAAATGAAAACAAATATTTATAAACAATATTTGGGAATGTGGGTGTCTCCTCTCCAAATTGCTTCTTGCAGTTTGGGGGAGGCTGTCTTAGGGATCCTAAGAAGCCCAGAAATCCTGGCAGTAGTGGTCTGCAAGGCTGCCTTGTCCCAGGTATTTTGGATGTTGAATCACCTGGGCCACTGCTTCAGGGGGTCTTGCTTCATCAAACCATGTTAGTCTGGAAGGAATCCACAGCCTTTTGTTTTCTGTGGAAATAAAAGTAGAAATTCTTTTCCAAAGTAACCTATCCTTAGATTTAAAATTTGAAATCAAAGCACTTTTAAAATATGTAAGTTGGATTAATCTAGCAGCGTTTCTATTAGCATTTGTTGTTGTTTCCTCCGCAGTGAAACAATTCAAAGACAACACAATAGCATACAATATCCAGACACTCTGTGCGTTGTCCATCTTTACATAGACTATCTATCTATCTATCTATCTATCTATCTATCTATCTATCTATCTATCTATCTATCATCTATCTATGATTTATCTATCTATTATCACTCTTGCACTTTTTTTCATTTTTTGAGACAGGGTTTCTCTGTGTAACTTTGGTTGCTTTTGAACTCAGTACACCAGACTGGCTTTGAAACCACAGAAATCTGCTTGCCTCTGCCTCCCAAGTCCTGGGATTAAAGGTGTGTGCCACCTAACCCAGTTACTCTCTTCCTTCCTCCTTTCCTCCCTCCCTCCCTCCCTCCCTCCCTTCCTTCCTTCCTTCCTTCCTTCCTTCCTTCCTTCCTTCCTTCCTTCCTTCCTTCCTTCCTTCTTTCCCTTCTTTCTGCCGCTTTATCCTGTTTCTTTTTCTCTCCCAAGCCTATGTATATTTTCAAACACACTGTAAACCTTTAGAGGCTTTTCTCCTTCTGAATTTACTGTAAGTCTTTACCTTTTTCTGGGCCACATGTCTTTTATATGCTAAACAGCATTGCTAACATTGAAGCAGTCCTCTCTTTCCAAGATGGCAGGGGTACATTTACTGCCAGTACTGACAGCTGAGTTCACCTCCTTAGTCTATGCCTCTACCAAGCAGCATCTACTGACTTGGAGATGTGGTTACTACCAATGCGAGCTGCTCGTACACACCACTCAATTGTTAGCAGGGCCTCTTAAAAGAGCCTTGCAGTTTTTCCACTTATGTGAGTCAGGAAACCTCCCTTAAATGAACCTCATGAGTCTCTGCTTATCTCTAGCAAAACAGAGCCCACCTTGGAAAATGCTACCATGAAGAACCCGTGTTTGGCTTTGTTCTTGTGTTTCTAAAATCCATTTTTAAGGTTTTGTCAAGTTTTAAGTGGAAATTCATGCTCCACATTACATTGGGCACCATTGTGTTATGTGAGGTTTTCTGGCCCAGCAGGTTCCCTGGCCCTTGAGCCTCCAAAAAACACACACACAGACACTATAATAGTTATGAATACTGTTGGCCAGTAACTTTGGCTTCTAATTTGCTAGCTCTGACTTAATTATTAACCCATAATTATTAATCTAAGTATTTCCACGTGGTCTCTTACTGGAGAAAGGCCCAGACCTCTTACTCCATTGGGATCTATATTGAGTCTGCTCAGCATCTTCACAGAGAAGAGAAGAAATAGAAGAGAGAGATTTCTTGTTTGTCCCTGCTTATATTCTGAGTCTGCCCAACTATGCCACTTCCTGCCTGGCCAACAAGTCAATCAGTATTTTATTCTTTAACCAATAAGAGAAACACACACAGAAGAATACTCCCCATCATGTATACTTTTCATACTAACACCCCCACCAACACTGCTCAAGGGTTCCCCCTCTGTACCTCTGCATTCACTATTTTATTGACTTCCTGGTAATAGCCAAACTCCAAAACTATTTTGTAACCACAGAATAATTTTGGCTTTATGTGATATTTTTAAGGGTGAAAAAATTAAATAGGAAAAAGTTAGAGGTATATAAGGTATTGGTCAGATAGTATTTCCATTTCTAAAAATTTTGCAATGTAAATACCCTGGTACCACAGAAGACAAAGGACTCTGTGAAATTCCTTTTGAAAACAAGGTGAGTTCTACTGTGACTAAGGCTGTGTGTCCGGTCCTGGGCAGGAGATTGTGAATGGGAGGCAGACAGTCCATGTGCTCTGAACTTAGAGCATGCACAAAGCTGAGGAGGACATTCTTAGGCTGGTTCTTTTAAGATTCTCAATTATTGAAGCATAGTAGCTCCCTCTCAGGAAATATTTCCCTGGATCATGACAAATACTAAACATGAGTCCTTTCATCTTAGAGTAAGCCAAAATTATTCTAGTAGAAGGATACTAAAACAAAATTATTCATACCAAAGGCTGAATCCATAAAATCTGCAGTCTGCAGAGGACCACTAATATAGACATAAATATTCAACCAATCACACTTTAATCTCAACGTCTTGTCAATAAAGCAATTTTTGGTACGTTTTGTGGTATTCAACTGTTCTAAGCTACAACATAGACTTACCTGAGCACTCCTATTAATACATGGAATGGCATGTATGTTCTTATTGCGTGATTATTAAAGATAAACAGATTAATAAAATCGGAGAAAAATTATAACTTAGAATCAAATTTTACCTTTGAGCTATGTTCAAGAGATGACACACTTAAATATATCAGTCCTGACATGCCTTTAAAGATGACAGTATGAGCCGGGCGGTGGTGGCGCACGCCTTTAATCCCAGCACTCTGGAGGCAGAGGCAGGTGGATCTCTGTGAGTTCGAGGCCGGGCTGGACCGATAGCCTCCAAAACAATACAGAGAAACCCTTTCTCGTCAAAACCAAAAACAACAAAAAAAAGATGACAGTATGATTCTACATATTCCTGAATCACAGCTTTCTCCTTAGTTTACACACGCAGAGAGAGAGAGAGAGAGAGAGAGAGAGAGAGAGAGAGAGAGAGAGAGAGAGAGAGAGAGAGAGAGAGAGGAGGGGGGACAGAGACAGAGGCACAGAAAGAGATTGAAATAAAATTGTATTAAGTTTCTTACGTGTACCGTTGTTGAGTCTGCCAGTGCCTGAAATTTCCAAACTAAATGACAGTACCTATTTATAAGTTTGGAGGTACCTAATCAAATAGGACTAGCAGGGTTTTCCCTGTTTAGGGATATCTACCAAGCAGACTATATGGGAATCATGACACTTCAGAAGTCCCATTGACTTCCATTATGGTTATCACTGCACTATACAATGTGATTCTCAGCTGACTTTAGAATGCATGACATTAAGATACACATCAGAGTTTATTATCACCTTTTTATTGGGACTAACATTTCAACAGTTATGATACAGTGCATGCAGATTCTAGGGAAAATAATGATGGCATGCATACTTGGCTTAGAAAAAATCTTCACCTATGAGCGTCAAAAGAAGGGTGAAACTGGAGGATAAATGCAACCTCATGAGATAGCATTTAAGTATTTGAAGCTAAGGATTTTATTGTAGAGTTTTAAACTCAACCACTCAAGCATGCATTGGAACTATAAACAGCATAGTATTTTTTTATTAGAGGTAAAGCATTTTTCTAGGCATCAAACATGTCAGAACATCAAACATGTTGCAGAGCCTTTAAATCACTTCTCCTATAAACAAGAAGAGGATGGGGTTGAGTCCTAAGTAACAAGATTGTTCACATAGTTTTCAATTTTAATGAATACTTTTAGTGAATTACATTTAGAGGCGTGGTTTCTCCAAGTATATATAAATGGCCTTGTGCAGTTGAACTGACAAAATTGTCCTCTAACTGCAAAGGAAGCCTATCACTCCTGACACCATGAGTTACTACAGCGGCTACTACGGAGGCCAGGGCTATGGCTATGGAGGCTTCGGGGGCCTGGGCTATGGCTATGGAGGCTATGGCTGTGGATGTAACAGCATCCGCAGACTGGGCTGTGGCTGTGGCTATGGAGGCTATGGATACGGCTCTGGCTATGGAGGCTACGGATACGGCTCTGGCTATGGAGGCTACGGGTATGGCTGCTGCCGCCCTTCATGCTATGGAGGGTATGGGTTCTCCAGCTTCTACTGAATAAATATTTGAATCTACAACCCATGGAGTAGTGTTCTGTGATACAATGATTTCCCTAAGGATCTTTATTCTGTGATTCGCATACCTTGGTTATTCTTTCTCCAGAATTTTGCTTCCTTTTTTATCACTTGGTTTCTGTAAATACTGCAGAGAATACTAAGTGATGTCTGAATTTTGAGTGTTGATCATGAGGGATCTACTTCTACACTGGTTGGAATGTTGTTACATTCTCACAAACTTTAACAATAAACTTTTTTCTGACACAGCCCATTTGCCTTGAACTTCAATTCTTTAACAAAAATAGTTTAGTCGGATTTATTAATATAATAACTGGCTATGTGTTTTCTTATAGGTAGAAAATTCAACAAATATCGATTTAATGACCTTGTCCTCTTCCTGATTTTATCTTTCTCAACTCTGTTTTCACTGCACCGTCTCCATTGGCTCCCTTTTGGCTGTCATGGTCTTCAGCCCCCTTATCTCCATTTTCCACAAATCCTTATACTTTATTTCCTCCAAAATATAATAATTATATGTCTAAGGATTCAAAAAGAATATACTGAAATAGTCCAATATAGCTGTATGTTGTAAATACATTATAAGCTGGTAAGCTAGGAGATACACATACAAAGCTGTTTTCTTTTTACTCATACTTAAAATATATCAAAGTAGAGAAAAAATTGAACATATCAAAGTAAAAATTTTTCCTAAAACAAAAGTGGATACCATTTTATTCCAGCCTCAATATGTATGATTCTATTAAGTGAAGTTTATTTCATGATTGAACATTAAGTCATTTGAATAATTTAAATTTCACATAGAAATTGAATCTACCATTAGAAATTCCTCCAAAATATAATTTTAAGTTCAAATTCTTTTGCTGGTCAATTCCAACAGTTTGGAACTTTTTTGTTTGTTTGTTTTTTTGGTGATAAATAAAATGTGGAATACCCTATAAGTTGAGAAAGATCTTAACATAAATACACCTGTATATTGTTTTTGACTAAATCTCGATTGTTTGATTCTATTAATAAAGACTTGGGAGTCAGATGCTGTGATGAAAGGCAGAGGAAGCACCCAGCTGACCTTCTTCCTCTATGTCATTCAAGAAGACCACCTTAAACTCTATCTATGTCATTGAAATAAGACCACCTTAAACTCTATCTATGTCATTGAAATAAGACCACTTTAAACTGAAGGCACCTCTTTCTACTTCTTTTTTTTTGTTTTGTTTTGTTTTGTTTTGTTTTTGTTTTTACGAGACAGAGTTTCTCTGTATGTTTCGGAAGCTATCGGTCCAGCCTGGCCTCGAACGCACAAAGATCCGCCTGCCTCTGCCTCCCGAGGGCTGGGATTAAAGGCCTGTGCCACCACCGCCCGGCTTCTTTCTACTTCTTGTGTGCCTCTGTGTTTGTACTCCTTACTCTTGCTTACTCTCTATGGTTTTTGGTGTGTTTACTTCCTGTCAACCAGTTGCTTACTCCACCTCTTGACCTGTGGTAGAATTTATTTATTCCTGTTTACCATTAGCAGAAAGCTCCTGGACTAAAGGTGTGTTAGGGCTGAGCCACACCACAACTAGAAACAGGTTTTTTTCCCCCCAGTAAATAATGAAATCTCCAGATTCACTGTGTTATCAAATACCCTGCAGTCTCTCTCTCTCTCTCTCTCTCTCTCTCTCTCTCTCTCTCTCTCTCTCTCTCTCTCTCTCTCTCTCTCTCTCTGAATAGAAAGGAAAGGTTTTAGAGAGTCAAATGAAAATCAAAAGATTGTGAGATTTGTGGCAATGGAATAGTCCCTTAGTCTTCCTCTGTCCCACACCAGGAGGCTCTTCTGATACAAGACAGAGATTATGGATTTTCCTTTAGCAACCACACATGGGTTTAGAGAAGGAGAGAGCCTTGCTTCAACCCCAAAGCCAGCTTTAATTTTTTTTTTAATTGAATTGGGGCCACATAGACCACTGGCCACTTAAATCTGCAGGGGGCAGCAGAGACAAGTATTTGGGCAGCTGCCATAGGAGGGTCAACCACATGGTGGGAAGGGAGAAGGGAGTACCCCACCCAGGCTGCCCCGCCTCCTGTCCATACTCGGTGATTGTCTGGCCAGAAGGAACAATTGCTCAGGCAAGATGTGGCATGGGTGCTGATGCTAATCTAGGGCTCTGAGCCGGGTTTTCAGGCCGGTCAGCTGGAGGTGGGCAACACCACTTGGACAACTTTCATTTTTTCTTGGGATATTTTCTCTTGATGATCTGTCCTTGTTCTTCTGATGTTTCACTTATCTAGTGTTCTCTGGATTCCTTAGCTGAATACTTTTATTCTCTTGGAAAAATGAAGGGAAAACCCTGCTGCAATCCTAATTCTGGGAGGTTCCTTTCTTGCCAGGTTATATCTTTCCTAGGGAAAATGTTCTTTGACAACAGAAAAATATTATATTTCAATTAAAATTATTTTGAAAACTTGAAACTAAATATACCCTAATATGTTTGGGAATATACCTATGTTCTCCTTTCTTTTTATATATAAATTCTAGGTTTAAGTGTATTTACTTTTAGATCACAAAGGACAGTTACTTTGGATTTCAGCCTGCCTTTTTCAACACCTTTTAAATTTAAATCACTGTAATTCTTATTTGCCTGCCTCTGACTCCAAAGAGTTAGGATTAAAACATGTGCTTCCTAAATGCTGGGATTAAAGATGCAAACCACCAACCCACTTTGGATTCCTTAAATTAGGTAATTCTCATAGGATTATCTGGGTTGAATTTGGTTCTCCACTTCCCCTTAATTTTTTTAACGTTAGAGTTAAACTTTGAAGTTTTTCAAATATGTAATAATCTGTTCTCTGGTGTCCTGGTTAGGGTTACTGTTGCTATGAAGAGACACAATGGCTATGGCAATTCTTATAAAGACGACATTGAGTTAGCTTGGCTGGATTACAGTCTCTGAGATTCAGTTCATTATCACTGTGACAGGGAGCATGGCAGCCCGCAGGAAGACATCATGGTGCTGCAGCTGAGAGTGCCACATCTTTCAGGTAGCAGGAAGTGGACTGACACCCTGGGCAGTATCCTAGGCATAAGAAACCTCAAAGCCCACCCCACCCCCACTCAGTGACACATTTCCTCCAACAAGCGGAATCCACTCCAACAAAACCACACCTCCTAATGAGATTATGGAGGGTGATTACATTCAAACCACCACCTGGAAAATTTTAATGTTGTTGTCTTAATTAAACATGATGCCACTTTGTTCACTATTTCATTATTTTTAGATGTCTTGTCTGTTTTGCATGCATTAGTTATACGAAATCAGATGCCTTTGTTAAGTTTTGCTAGGTTTTGCCATTTCTACTCATGTATCCCATGACCAGATATCTTTGCCATTTATCTGCCGGTTTGTGGTTTTCCATTTTGATGACCATATAGCTATACCAATGCACAAGCACTATGAATTGGAGAAAACAGAGATTTTCCTTTTGCTTTCCTAGTTGTTTGTCTTATAGCCAATAGTGCTGCACTGAACTGTAGCTCTTTCCTCAGTATTGGCCTCTCTATCCCATGTTCTATACGCTGTTGCTTTCCATTAGTTTTGTTTCCATCAGTGGTTGATAAGCTCTCTGTAAGCATTATGTTAACCAAATGTTGTGACCATTCCATTGGTCCCTACAGTTCAACAGGTTCCTCTTTGGGGAAGGGGCAAGCATTGTAAGGATTGGAATTATGGGCAACTGAGCTATTCCCTCAGTGCAGGAAGGTACAGACCCCCTCTCTACTACATCTTGGTCATGAAGGAATTCATATAGGTACAAGTTCCACTGAAATGCCTTCCCTTCCATGGCTAAGCCTACAAAGGACTCTGCCTTCAAACGGATCCAACCCAACACTGTAAGGTGTGCCCTTATGATCACAGGGTGGTTGGCAATGACTGAGTATAAGGCTCTCAAGGTCTCATAAAATGTCTAGATTCCCAAAGACAGAATATTTATTCTTTATATATGAAAAGCGTTTGCAATAGAAGCCAACAGGCAAAAGTTGGTGAACTCCTTTTTGTTTTAAGGGGAGTCCCCAGTTGCCAATAAATATGATATCCATAACTAGGGTATCAGCTGGTTCAATATTGGTAAGGGCTGCATTCATGGAGAATTGTTTACCAGCAGTTGCAAAAGCTGCTCTTTGTTCTTGCCCCACTGAAAATTAGCTACCTTTCCCGTAACCCTGCAGAAGCTTCTTATAATAAACTGTAAATATGGTATGTGATTTCCCTAGTGTCCAAACATACCAATTAGGAGCTGTATATGAATTTTGTCCCTGGGTGGTAGGATTTATGGCATGTACCACCACTGCCTTGCTCACTGTAACTTTAGAATTTAGAAAACAACTAACTTATAGAGATTCACCTCTTAGCTCAGAGAGGCAGAGAAAGCACCCTGCAGACCTTCCTCCTCTGCTGAAGAAGGATACCTCTCCTTCTTCTGCACCACCTCAGACAAGACTGCCTGAACCTGAATGTCTGTCCTTTCTACTTCATGTGCATCTCTGCATCCATCCATCCTCCCGACACTCTATTCCTCTCTCTGTTTTTTTTTTCTTGTTTACTTCTTGTCAATTGGCTCCTTGCTCCACCTCTAGACCTACGGTTGACTTAATTTAATCCTGTCTACAATATTCAAGCGGAAACCTCTTGGATTAAAGGTATGCGCTAGGGCTGAGCCACACCACAACTAAAAACTGGTTTTTACAATAAATGATGCAATCTCAAGGTTCACAGGGTAATCAAATATCCTGCAAGAACAATATTATCTAGGGAGAGAATGAAGAGATATTTCTCTAAGTTAAATATGATTCTTAACAATTTAAGTTTTTTTCTAGTAATATATTGAAAAGGCTCATGTCTGAATTCATTTGTAGAATCTAGGAAATCTTATCATTTGATAATCCGAAGCATAATTTAATGTAAGAGCAAAATGAATTATATACATCAAAATAATGTTCCCAAG